GAAATTGAAGAAAATTCAAGAGTATGTGTTAATAAATCAAAGAGCATTTCAGCATATTTTGTTTTTCTGTACTACCCTCAGGGCAGCTTGTGGTGTTTGGTTTTTGGTGGTTGGTTGGTGTTTTGTTTTGTTTTGTTTTTTGTGTGTGTGTGTATGTTATTTGGTTTTGTTTGTTTGTTTTCAAAACTGTTGTTCAACCCCCTTCTGCAAACAATATATCCCCCTGTTACACTGGGTTATTTAGCTTGCTGTGATGACCAAATCATCTTTTCAGTTTTTCATTTTGTTTTTATTAGCATGCAGTCACAAACTGTTGGCATTTTGGAGGAAGTGCCTGTCACCAAGGACTCTGATGTTAAAGCTCATATTATATTAGGCAAATTGGCATTTGTCTTGCACATAACAAAACTGTATCTTTGTTTTTTCATCTTTTGTTTCCTCAGTAAGCTGTTAGGCCTTTGCAGTATCAAATGTGACTTCTGCCTTCTGGGTGTATATATATATATAGTTTTAAAAATCCTATGGTCGGTCTGTATGGCTTTTAATTTACAGTAGTAATGAAAGAGTTCTCATAAAATGCAGATTTAAATTAGAAAAAAAATCTGACTGTTTAGTTTACATCCTCAAAGCCTGAATTAAAAATATAATTTCAAATACACATAATATACATAAGGATGATGTAATTTCTGTTTTCATTAGTTGTTGGAGAACATGACTGAAGTTGTTAGAAAAGGGATACAGGAAGCACAACTTCAGCTTCAGAAAGCAAATGAAGAACGACTTCTTGAAGAGGTAAGGTTATGAAGTTATGTAACAGCTTGTCATGATGTGGTTACCTGGCTCACTGGTCTTTAATTGTGGACTTCACAGGGGCTGCTACGACAAATACCCGTAGTAGGTTCTGTGCTGAACTGGTTTTCTCCATTCCAAGCCTCACCAAAAGGAAGAACATTTAATCTAACAGCAGGTAGGACTCCGTGCATCTGCAGCCATGTTATGCTGTGTTCTAAATGTTTCCAATTTTATACTGAAACAGCAACACTTTCTTGTGCTAATTGAGTGATATAATGCACCCTTGGGATGTAAAGGAACAACATGTTCTTCACTATTTCTGTAACACTTTGATGAGAAAATCTCATCCCTTATATAGTTTACATCTTGTTGTTGTATATTGTATCATGCTAAAAAAAGCTCTATTAGATACTGGCAAAAAAAAAAAAAAAGAGGAACAATTGCTGGCCAGACATGCTATGGAAGTGCCTATTCTTGCAACAAATGCTACATGTATAAATAGATGAGCTAGTGGGGAAGACTTTCTGCTGCATTTGGAATCTTATTCTCAATACATTGTCTTCAAGATCCTTAGTGAAGAGAACAGTAAGGCTTCCTTGGGAATGCTTATACCATTTATAACTAGATATGTTTTCAAAGTGCAGTGATTGATGGCTTGCAGCTGGGGATGTGTCAAGCCTCGAAGAAAAGGGAAAACTGAGTACTGGGTGTCTACCATTGTTGCAAAGTGAGTGTGAGGGGAACTTTATTCATCTTTTTAAGACTCAGCAACTCTGTCCCCAGTTACTCAGAAACCAGCTACAGTCGAGTGGCAGTTTCAGATTAACTGCAGACAGGCAGTTTCAGAAACCTGCACTAAAAACAAGATTGTTATATATATATATATATATATATATATATATATATATATATATATATAAAAGCAAGTTTAATATATAATAATACATTAAATTATATATATATATATTATTAAAAAAAAAAAAAAAAACTGACGAAAAGAGAACTTGTCTATATTCAACTTGCAGCTTGCTACTTCCTTTTGACTTGCAGGTTCACTAGAATCCACAGAATCTACATATGTATCAAAAGCCCAAGGTACAGGTACTACTCCACCACCAACTCCAACTTCCAGCCTCGCAAAGCAAAGACATTCTGGTAAGTTTCTGCTTTGCGATTTTATTCTAAAACTTGCTGAAACACCCTGGCCTCAGCACGCATCTGACTTGAGTGATGCTAGAGGACCTGCATGATTTTCCTTTCTGTTAAAATACCTGGAATTAGATCTTAAGTCCTCCCTAAATAATGTAGTTTAAACATAGCACAGAATACTACCACAGTAAATTTTCTAAAACATTCTTCTAGGAATGTAAGATTTTTTTATCCCCCCCAAAGTGTGTGTGAAGTCTTGGGTCCTTCTCTGGAATAGTTGGTGGCAGCCCTGCCTATCTTAGGAGGTTGGAACCAGGTGATCTTTAAGATCCCTTTCAACCCAAGTAATTCTATGAGTACTGAGGGTGAGTTTAAAAAAAAAAAATAAAAAATAGTAGGTTTAGTAGTTGTGTTTGAAGTTAAAGCGTAAGTAATATGTTACTGTGTATTTGAGCACCTGTCTGTTACTACCTAATACTGTGTTGACAAAGCCATTCTAGAGTGAGTAACTATTAAATGCATGGCATTTTCCGTTTAGATATATTAGTAATTAATGTAGATTTGACTCTCAGGGAAGCCATAGTTCTACACCCCTCTTTAACTTCTGGCTGGCTTCTAGCCTGTGATTTTCAGTGAAACTCTACACCTTACAATGACTTTGGAATGGGTTTCTCAGCTGAATTATAACAGTTTCTGTGTACAGAGGATAAAATAACTGGCGCTTGTTGCCTTGCACATGTATGTGTAAGTGGAAGGAAGTATTTATATGGTTAGGGTACAGATTAGCACCTGAATAAAATCTATTTCTTTGTAGTTGTAAAATTCAGATGCTTTCTTTGAAACTTGCCTTCTGTGTACTACACTTCACATTTGATGGCATCACTGGTACTGTACTCTTCAAACATTTTACAGGTCAGAAAATTTTTAAAAGGGGTCTCAGAAATTCTGGTGCATTTAATGAGACCAGTTCAGTTGGCCACTGTGATGATCTGGAAAAGCTGGCTCAGAGACCCCCAACTCTATCACCTGGCCAAGAGCAAAGACCACTGGAGACATTAAAAACAGAGCTGCCCAAGGAGGTGCTACAGGCAACAAGTAAAGATACCGAGGACATTCAAAGCAGCAAATCACCAAATGACTGCACAAATGTAGAACAAGGAAATCAAAGATAAAAACCAGACTCTGGATTTAAGACTGTCTGCATAAATCACAAGCCTCAAAGGGCAGGATATTTTAATGATGCATTTAAAATGTGAACAGTGCCACACACTAATACAGTAATATAAGTACTGTAACTTACTAACTGGGATTTTGCACACATAGAAATTTTCCCCAAGCAGGAAAGACTTGTCTTTGTGTATACTTAGTACAGTTGCTTTAATCCTGTACATGTTGGTGTCAACAAAGTTGCAGTGAGATTTATTAACTGCCTGACTGCTTGTAAACATTTGTCAAGAAAATAGGCAGTTACAGTTCCAATAAGATTTCAGGCTTGACAGTAGATACTGACTCAGCAGCCATGTATAAGATTAAGAATACAGCTGCACCCAACAATTGTAAATTGATCTTATGTGTATATTTTTAAGAAACTGCTTTTTTTTAAAACATTTTTATATTAAATATTCAGTTTAACCTCTTCAGTAAAACAGCCTAGTCATGCCAGTTCTACTTTTGCTTTTTTTTTCTTTCAGCACTTTTATGAAGAACATTGCCAAGCAGCGGTGGTGCAGTCAGTGTTAGGGATGGGTGCATGTGTGTATATATAGCAGTCACTGAATTGTACTTTGTCATCACCTATTTTTTTTCTGTTCAGGTGAGGCCCTGAGTGTAAGAGGACTAAAGTAAGTTACTGAGTTTTAAGCGGTTCAGAAAGAAATAGTGCCTCTGCATGCCTAAATGGCCTCTTGCTTCTACCACTAAAAAGAATCACCAATACATTTTTTTCCTTTGCATGGCACTGGTAACACATGTAGTATCATTAACTGGACTTTTCCTTGTTATGTATTTTTAAAGGTAGTTAGAGCAAAGCTTAAAAAAAAAAAAAAACCCACTATATTTGTGCTGATTTCAACACTTACTTTTGAATAACTTTAACTTTCCTAGGGCAGGAGTTGTATAGATTCAATGAAAATCTATAGTTTATTTACTCTACAGTGCAAGTTCATAGTGTCCAGGACTATGTGAGGCACAAGTTAAGCTTTGGATACACCAAAAGCTACAGTGTACAGATCTTCCCCCCTGCCCTCACATGATTTAGTGCAGTTGCTTTTCTGGAAGTTTCCAGAGCCCCTTGTGGAAGCAACATCTTTTGGAAAGCTTGCTCTGCAACAAGGTTTTTGGAGAAAATCTTTCAATCCCTACAGAGCTAGACACAGAAGTACTATAGTTTGCTTTGGGCTTTTTTGCAAAGGGTGTCAATTTAATGGCTATAATGGGGGTAGGATTAACTTTGATCTGAAAAATGAAGGGCTTTTTTTTTTTTTTTTTTTTTAGTAACGTCACCTCATTTGACTTTCAGCATCTAAATCCCGTGGGTAGGTTTTGCTCTTGCAGTAACTTATGTAAATTAGAGTGCAATTTTTCTGAAGTGCAAAAACAGTTAAGTTGACTAGTCTTCCTCAGCGATTTCTTTGGTGCAATGAATAAGTTAACAAGAGTAATTTGTGGGGAATAACGTTATCACCACAGTGATTATTTTCTAATGTTTTTATATTTGGAATTGTTAAACCGGTAGTTTTGGTGGAATGAGCTTCATTCTTCAGCTCTTCTTTGATTGTTTCAATAAAGAATCTTCAAATTATTAGTCTTAAGATATATTTTTGAATGAAGTTCCTGTAGAAGCTGCAGTAGATTTTCAGCATAAGCAACTTTCTTTCACTTTACATAGAAAAAGAGTTTCTCAACTCCATGTTCATATGGTGACTTCTAGCCTCTGGGTTGCAACACTGCCATCTGTCTGTATTATAGCAGTCTGATCAGCACAGATACGCATTGAAACAAAAAACAATTACTTCAAAGTAATTGAGGTTCCTACTTAAGTAATGCAGAAGAAACGTTACTTCTGTTGAAATATTTTATTTGAAAAGCATAGGAATCCTACTATCCATGACCCGCACCATGCTTTTACAACAACTTGCTGTTCTTCTGGTACTGCTATGCTTCCCTAAAGTAGCTGAAGTTGGGTTCCAAGTTAGGCCTTGTCAGAACAAACCAGTTCCCACAACCCTTCTTCATTTTTTTTGTATATGCGAGGTTTTCTATCAGGAAACAGGGAATGAGATGGAAATGGATGTGCTTTTAAAAATGTTAACGTAGAACGAATGTGGGAAACAAAGTGGGGTGGCTCAGCCAAAGGCGATGTGGAAAGATTCTGAAAAACAAGATGACAGCAAGAGCTGCTTGAAATTCAGAATACAAAAGCTCTCAATTACTCTCCCTTCTAATACAATTATTTTTCCCCCTCCCCTACTATAGGCAGAGGAGAGCTTTGACAGGCCCTACCCCTTCTGTTCTCAGCTAAAGAGTACCTGTAGAATCTGTTGATCATCTTGTTCTAACCAGAAATCCACATGTGGGAAAGGCCTCCAGAAATAAGGTCCAATGTGTAGTTGTTCAGTCTTTGCATCATAAATGTTTGTCAGCTGCAGTAACACAGAACTGTTTACAGGGAGCCTTAGAAGTTAGACAGCACTTAAACAAATGAAAGAGACAAAGAAATGCTTTAAGCTGGAAAGCATTTGTACTGCTGTAATGCTATAATGTGATGGAAAGTACAGCAGTAATAGTGGAGTAGCAAAATCCTAGGCTTCAGCATATGAGAACAAGCACAAATACTGCAGCAGCAGGTGAAGAAACAAGGGAAGAAAACTGCTTACCTTTGGAATGCCTCAGGTACAACAGGAATCTCCAGATAGATCCCTCTGCCTCCACTGCCAGCCTTACATGAGGGCTGGAAAGGGGGTTGGATCCTGGTTCCACCCTTCCATCACTCAGTGCATTGCATTGCATGCACCTGAGCTCCCTGGGCTGCCCTGCCTTCCTACCAGGTGCTCCATCACTGCTTCAAGCCATGACTCAGCATTTCCACTACAGCTACCAACCTGTTTGGCTTTTTTTCCCCTATATTATGATAACTCATTGCCCCTAAGTGGTCTTACTTTCTAGCAATGATACCTGATTTGGAATTTCATTGCCCACTTTTATTTATACTCACTCTTGCTCCTGTTAAAACATGGGCTGAACGCAAATCCTCATCTGGCCCTTTTTCTGGAAAAGTTGCAGGGAAAATCTCTGCTGTTTTTACATTCACAGCTGCTGAGAAATAGAGTTTAAACTTAAGACACAATTTTAATTCTTACCAAACATTGGTTAAAACAACTACCTCCACAACACTGCTATTGTAGCAGGAATTTTAGAAGCTGCCAATTACTATTCTCTTTGCCCCAGGCCCCATTATCTTAGAACATCTATTTTCTGCCACACCTCCAACAGCACTCTACAACAGGCATTATGTAAACACTAAAGGCAGTGCATTTACTACTAGAATCTGAAAAGATATCCAGTTACCAAAAAAGCCCCAAACAATTCTATTTTAACTCACCTATTCCATAAATGATTGGCAAATGAATATCCTTCTCTTCTCTGTCATTTAGTTCTGTAAGAAAGAAAGGTCAAATGTGTAGGGCACCAGACTTTTTTCTGTACAGAATTCACTCAGTTGTGCATTACCAGAGAAGAACTGAGCTAACAGTGCTTAAAAAGACAGAAGGAAAAACAAATGAACAAAATCAACACAGGACAAAGCCTAAAATGAATATGGAAAAGATGATAAGGTCAACATTAACATGTTGGGGCCTACAGGAGAACTCTCATATCACTAGGTCCAGCTCTAGTCATTCCATTTTCTGCGCAAGCCAAAATCAGCTTAAAAGTCCCAGGAAAAAAAAGTAAAACTGCTGTGATGTCGATTTTCAAAAATGCAAGTCACCAGTAACATTTAAATACAAAGGTTATATATGACTTGAATACAATACAAAGAAAAGGAAATAATTATTTATGTGACATCACATGTTACAAATTAACTGGAGGAGTCTATAAACAGTCTAACAACATCAAAGGTCATTAAGTTCCTTTCTCAGTTGCCTCTCTAAATACTCAAAGCTATACAGAGACAGGAAATGGCCTGGTAACATTCACAGGTCCTCCCCAATCTTAACTGAGGGAATCTTTGCTGAGCAGGCTGTCTGACATTAACACACTGTAAATAATAAAATTTAAACATACAAGTCAAATGGGAGGATGCGTACCATTATTACAGGACAGATTTAAAAAGGCTATGGATGGAAATATCTGTACTTCGATTTCAGTAGCTAAAATTTCTTCAAAAATAAAACAAAAAAAACACAAGAAGACATTTCTTACCTGATACACAGAAAGTCACTAAATGAACATCATCTGGTTGGAGATCAAACGCTCCTACAGCAAAAACAATAGCAGCAATATATAAGACTGACTGGTGGCAAAGCAGGTGCTGAATATAGACAGGGGGATTATCAGTGCTGCACACTGCAGAATAGATGGGCAGAAGGGACTTAATACACTGTTCATAGATAACACAACAGAACAAAGAGTGTTTTTCAGGTTTGCATCAAACCAACTTTTAGAAAAAGCCACAGCTCCTAAACATACCAGTAATTTACAGAGAGTAGCCATTTAAGATGTCAAAAGCATGTTAAGAAGTTGTGCCACTTGCTCCTTTTACTGACATTGTTTAAAGTAGCTCTGGCATCACATCAACTCTGCTTTAGTTAATTGCACATATTTAAGTACTTTCCTAAATTGTTATATATATATTGAGCAAACCCAGCCTTTCATTGTATGTACTTCAATTCTCCCTTTCCCCATCCCACACTTTTTTTTTTTCCCCTGAAAAGTTCACCTTTTTTCCCATAGTTCTAATAGAAATATAATGTTTTAAATTGTAACTGGATACATGAAAACCATGAAGCTGAAAAAATACGTTAACCAAAACATTTTGTGCTGAGCTCTCATGCAATATGTACCATACGTAACAGGAATCGCATCATAACATGTGAGAGGGCAAGAGGGGCACATCCCACAGGACATCTGCCAGACCAAATTCCTCGTCCCATAGCCACCTCCCTCAATACATGCCCGTCTCTTCCAAACTCCAGTGAGCTCAATGCCTCTCTACGTTTGGGAAGTGCTTAGCATAAGCCAGGGCACTTGAAACATCTAAGTTGGTACTTCATGTTTCCCAATTTGTTTGTAAAGTACCATAACCACTTCTCTGTACAGATTTCATGGAACAGAAATAACATCTTTCATCAGGCAATTGCAAACAAATTAAGATTTACCTCATCACATTAAAGTGAAAAAGGAATAGTAACTGATCAAGACATCATCATGTACTGATTTGGACAGGTGACAACACCTGGGCAAGATCACACATCAGCTTGTCAGCAGCAGAGCTAGGAATTAGGTCCAGCTGAACAGCACTCCCATTCTACCCCCTGCAATGCATGTCAGGAACAAATGACAATTCCCTGCTCCACACCTGGCCACAGGCAAGCCTCAGAAGTCCAACCCCTCCTCTTCAGCAAGTTTGCAAGTAGAGAAAACACCCTCCAAAATTAATCCCCACTTGTTCCTATTAAATGATGGTGCTCAGATTACAAGCAGATTTTACCCAAATCCAGTCAGAACTATTTTTTTCTACATGAGAGTGGAAAAAATGTGAACTTACTAAGAAGCTGATTAGTAAGTTTTTGTGATAACTGCCTATCATCATTGAAACCTCCAACTAGGTGCACTTCCAGCCTAACAGAGATGGAATAACAGGAAACAGCAGTTAAGATGACATCCCAAAGTGAATACCTTTACAAAATAATCTCCAGTCCAAACTACAATGCAATCATTAGAGGAGTCTCACTTGTTAATGGTTGTATGTGTAGCAAACTGTGGTTGGTAATTTTATTTTGAACACTTAGGAATCATTCAAGAAACAGCACAATATTAAAAAAAAAAAAATGCCTCAGCAAGCATTACACACATGCAATTCTATCGAAACCCAAGGTATCTGTGATGGTCAGTGCCTCAGTTTTGGACATAACTCAGTAACTACCTCTCAGTTCCCAAAAAAACAGTGAGCTAAATGTGAAGGAGTTTACTCCCATGGTCTCCAGAACTACTCTAGGCCATACAGCAGCATTTTTCTCCAAGAAGTGTCTATATAAAGACAGGCGTTGTTTGTGAGGTTTTTTGACCAAACAAAAAACAACAACAAAGACAACTAGTGACAATTTTTGGGTTTTGGGTGCAAGGTCTCAGAAACAATAAAAAAGTGAGAGGAAGCATCATCAATCACCTAGCAAGGCCAACATTCATCTTTCAAAACTGGGCAAGGTAGATCATGAGTTCTAGAGACCACATTTTCCAAGTCCATGGAGTTTTTGTTCTTATCAAACTACACAGGCAAAAAATCTCCACACTAAAGAAAAGCCTTGCTAGCCAAAATCTATCTCAGAATTTGTTGTTGTTGTTGTTGTTGTTGTTGTTGTTTTTTCCCCAGTATGGGTCCTTGAAAAATCCCAGACAGATTCTCAGATCCAAAAGGAATTCACAAGACCAACATTTCTCATGGAAAAACAGAACAACTAAAAACAGTTATTTGGAAAGTTTAGTACATCTGAAATAAAAGTTACTGAGAAACAGTAAACACCAAACCACTCAATGGCATTTTTACAAAGCCACTATTCAGAATAGAACCATGCTTTAGATCACTGATAGAAAATACCCACAACATCATCATCAATAAATCAATAAAATAGTTATCATTTTCCATACAGCCCGTTATAGAAATATTTCTTGCACGGTTACCTTGTCTGAACCCCATAAAATCAGATAACAGTTCCACAACTTACAAACTGCAGCTACTCTTGTGAAAAACAGTATGTAACAATTAACAAAGCAAAGCTGACCTTCCATAACCTGTGGTGTTAGAGAAAGATTTTACTGAACTCATGATGAGCGACACCTCCGCTTCTGTGTCTGATCCATCACAGTGTGTCAAGCATGTGGCTCCACTGCCTGAGGAAGATGTGAGAAGACAGTGACACTGGTGGACATTGTTCACTACCATAATTCAGGTCAACAACAGTCTGCACTATTACAGTAGTGCAAGAACTACGCCCCACCTACTCATTTCTATTAGTTCAGTAGCCTCTAGCATAAGAGATGGGCTGACTGCATGAGACAATAACCTCTATGTACGTCCCATTATAAAAATCAGCTGGACAATGACTGGTGCAAACACCTTCCCAGTAAGGACCAAGAAACACCCTTGCTATCAGAAATACAGGAAGCCTTTCCCATAAATTCTACATGTTGTTGTTATTGCCAAACCCTGCTGATCCAGCTGGCTGAACTCTCTGGCATTCACACCCAGCCTGTGAGACGCTGCAAAAGTGGCCACTAAAGCAGATCAAGTTTACGATTTGCTCATTTAGCAAAGTGAACATGGAACTGGTACTGAACACACAAACTCTCTGAATTTATCACAGTTAAAGCACCTTGTAACTTTTTGAGACGTCAGTTTATATAAATGAAATTGCAGTTTATTTCATTAATGCAGCATAAACCAGTGATGATCTGAGCTGTACTACTTCAGAGGTACAGGCTGTGTGCAGAACACCCATTAAGATACCTGTGTGTCGGAGCACAATTAAGTGGCAGGTAGTTGCATCATCCGACCCAAGAATAGACACAGAACCTGTTTTAAAGGAGAGAGGTTGTGTATGAACTTTGCTGTCGTAGTAATTGCTTTAGCAGAAGTGCTTACACTCGTACATACCATCATTAGGGGTGGTCACTGCAAACTCTCTCTGCTGGACATACAGAAGCCCTTTGGGTTCCACAATTTGAGTAGGCTGACTTCTTAGAAGTTTTGCCTTTTCCTAAAGATAAATGATAATAAAGACTACAGAGGCTGAATTCTCAGCCACTTGATAGAAACATCACCTCCAAAAAGCAAAGGTACCCAGGTTAGCGGCAAACATGGCATATTTTGTATTTTGGAGGATTCTGAATTTCTAGTTTTTCATCTTCCTGCCACACATTGGCTAGCTGTTAAATCCCATCATTCCCCACACAGAAAATACTCTTTCCCTGCTTTATAAAAGGTAAATGGAGGAACAACAGGACAGGGCCAAGCTGACATCAGACAATGCCAGAGCAGATCTTGCAATTTTACACAGCACAAAATCATACACTCGTTAAGGTCGAAAAAGGCCTCTAAGATCATCCAGTCCAACAGTCCACCTACCACTACCACTGGCCACTAAACCATGTCCCTAAGCACCACATCTACATATTTCTTGAACACCATTTGGGACGGTGACTCCCCACTCTCCACGAGCAGCCCGTTCCCCTAACCAACCACCCTCTCAGGGAATTCTGACCTGACATCCAAAGTGAACCTTCCTGGTGCAACTTGAGGCCATTCCCCCTCATCCTATCACTACCTACCAGAAAATTTCCTTCTTCTCCAAAACGTGAAACTTTCAGCTTTTCATGGCCACAATCCAATATACTTATTAATTACTAGCAAATTGTAGCAATTAATCATCATGCTTAACCGATGGAAAACTGACTTCCTGGGCTCTGACTGCACTGCTGGCTAGCTACTGTGCACATTTCTACACTAGAGCTGAAAAAAACCCAAAACTATTTCAGTTTTTATCAAATCTGCACTCATTTTTATTTTTATTTTTAAAATTTTCCCCCCCTCTACAAGAACTCAGTTTCCACAAAACGGCACTTTCTTATGAAAAACAGCTCTCCAACCAGCTCTGTTAGGCAGTTCCTAACCCACGAGCTGCCGTTCTGATTAAAACGTTTACAGTATTAGAACGAAGTTAACACCTCTCCGATACCGCGATCCCGACGTCCATCCCTAGCCGCCGGTTCATCGACCCGAGGGCACCGACCGCCCCCGCCGCCCCACGCCAATCTCTCACCGCAGGGCAGCTACCGCCTCCACGATGCGGACACGCTTCCCTTCAGCCACCTCGCGCCTCTTTCACGCGCCGGGGCCGCGCAGAGCCGCCCCAGACCTGCTACCTCCGCAGGCCCGCCCAGAGCCGCCGCAGCGCTCACGTCGCTGTCGGGCCGGCCCGCCCTAAGGCGGCCCTCAGCGAGGCGGCCTCGGGGCAAGAGCGGGCAGACCCCGCGGCGAGGGCTCGGCCACCTGCTCACCTCCAGGTGCGGGTGGGTGCGGATCACGCCTCCCGTGAGCCGAGTCAGATCAATCCGCTCCCCGTTAATCAGCAGTGGCATCGCGGAGAACGCCCAGGGCGGGAGGCGGCCGCTCCGCTCTTCCTCCCCGGGGCCGCGCTGGGCCAAGTCGGGCGCCGCCGCGCGGAGCGCTGGGAAACCGCGGCAGAAGCCGCTGAGGGCGGGGCGGCGGCAGCAAGCGGCGGTCTGCGCTCGTTCCGACAGCAGCGGGCCGCTCATGGTGCTTTTACGGCTCTTAACGCTCTGTAACCCCCTCCTCCTTCCCTTGCATAATTATTCAGGAACTGTAAGAAACTGTTGGAAATGTCTACCAGCAGCTCTCCAATTTACCAATAAACCGTCCCCCAGCTCTATGAAGCCTTCACCCAAAACAATTCCAAGTGGGAGAGGACAGCCAGAGCAAAGGGGACTCTCAACAGTGAGGAAAACAGACCACACACTCTACTTTTCTAATATCATTTTCACAAAATAAAGTTACAGCAGATACTTTCTTCAAAAGATGCTTCATATTTCACAGGGAACCTCAGAACCTCACCAGGTTCAAATCTCAACAAAATCTCCACCTCTGAAGCAGCACTACTCTAGAGTTCAAGCAGCACTTACAGAACAGTCCATGCAGCAAATTGCCAGGACCTTCTAGCACTGCTGGTTGCAGCCATGCTAAGGCTAGCAACTCAGAAGAGTCAAGGAAACACTAAGGAGCTCCTGCCTGATTTTTTTTTTTTTTTAAACAAGTCCCTTTAGCATACTAAAGTTGACTCTGCCCCTCAGAACAGACATGCCTGCACATTTTTAATGTGACACCTCGTGTCAAAAATCTTTTCCCCTTCCTCCCCCTCTCCCACCCAGTTTTAATATGACACGGAAGCTCCTGCATCACATACCTGATGCTACATCTTGTCAAGTTTTATAGAGCCTCATTTTGTAAGTGACTGTGTTGCTGAGGACACAAAAGTGAAAGAGCAGAAAAACGCAGCTTCCAGAAAGCATTTTCTTTGCCATGGTTGTGAGAAGGGTACTTCTGTGTCAGGAGAGAGACAACTATTTCAGATGGAAATTACTGTTCAGTGCACAAGAACAACAGTAAAGAGAACTAAAATTAAAAACAAAAGCTAAGTTTCAATTTATACAGTGATTAACAGATCCCACTAACAAATTTTGCAGTATCATCCCTGAAACTACTTTTCAGTCTGCTAGAATAAACATTCTACCTGTGGAAAATATATTCTCCAGAGAATATACTATAGAGAGATCCTCAGTTACACACAAAGCACAAAATTGGCACTCTTTGCATCAGTTTTTATTGGCTGTGAATAAACGCATTGTCTTGAAAGCCTACAAGCTCAGACTAAAAAAGGGCAGATTAACGGAGTCCCACATGCATTAAATTTTCAACTATATGTTACACAAATAACATTTTTTGCACTGTTTAGAATCAAGAAAGAAAATAATAATAGTTAAAAAATGAAAAATCTATGGAGAAACTCTTTACTGACACACAAACAATACAATAATAACAGACATCAATCCCTTTTCACAAGGGATGTGGGGTTTGTTTGTTTATATTTTCAGCATTCACACAGAAGTTCAAATCCTGAAAATAAATACCTTTTCAGAGTGCTTCACAAGCACCTCAAATAAAACTATCTACAAATCATACTTTCAGCTACTCATTTTCAACACTTCCAACAATCACCACTTCACGTATCAGAACTTTCATAGCTGGAAAAGCTGTGTGTCATCCACACGTTTAAGCAGCAATAACGCTTACCATCTGAATACACTCACCACTACCAAGGGCCTTTATCAAGCACTGTTCTCCAGATAGGACAAGCTCAGAGATGCGTGCAGCAGAACGACTGTCAGAGGGGCTTCCCTATCATGAGATCACAGCATTACTTGAAACCAACTAAAAAAGGTCATCAGGGAACAGTTCACCGGTCATGCTTGACCAATCTGGTAGACTTCTATGATGGAGTGACAGCATCAATGGACAAGGGAAAAGTGACCAATGTAATTTACCTGGACTTGAGCAAGGCATTTGACACGGTCCCTCACCACATCCTTATCTCCAAATTGGACCACTCGATGGATAAGAAACTGGTTGAAAGGCCGCAGACAAAGGGTGGTAATCAATGGCTCTAAGTCCAGGTGGAGGCTGGTAACAAGCGGCATCCCCCAGGGGTCTGTCTTGGGACCAGTGCTCTTCAACATCTTTATCAATGACATCGATGACAGAATCGAGTGCACCCTCGGCAAATCTGCTGGCAACACCAAGCTGAGTGATGCGGTTGACACAGCAGAAGGAAGGGATGCCATTCAGAGGGACCTCAAGAGGCTGGAAAGGTGGGCCCGGGTAAACATGACGAGGTTCAACACAGCAAAGTGCAGAGTTTTGCACTTGGGCCAGAGGAATCCCAGGCATCCATACAGACTGGAAGGAGCGGTCCTTGAGAGCAGCCCTGTGGAGAGGGACCTGGGGATCTTGATAGATGAAAAACTTATCATGAACCAGCAGTGTGCCTTTGCAGCTCAGAAAGCAAATGGTATCCTGGGCTCCACCAAAAGAGGGGCAGCCAGCAGGGATAGAGAGGTGATTGTCCCTGTCTACTCTGCTCTTTTGAGGCCCCATCTGGAATACTGCATCCAAGTGTGGAGCCCCCAGTACAAAAAAGACAGGGAACTCTTGTAGAGGGCCCAGAGGAGGGCCACAAAGACAATCAGGGGATTGGCGCACCTACCTATGAAGACAGGCTGAGGGAGCTGGGCTTGTTCAACCTGGAGAAGGCTGCAAGGTGACCTCATTGCAGCCTTTCAATACCTAAAGGGAGCCTACAAAAAGGAGGGGAATCAACTCTTTGAAAGCATCGATAACTGCAGGACAAGGGGAAATGGTTTTGAGGAAGGGAAGATTTAGGTTGGATGTCAGAGGGAAATTCTTTTCAGAGAGAGTAGAGAGGTACTCATACCCTCATTGCAGCCTTTCAGTACCTAAAGGGAGCCTACAGCTGCCCAGAGAGGTTGTGGATGCCCTGTCCCTGGAGGTGTTGAAGGCCAGATTGGATGGGGCCCTGGGCAGCCTGGTCTAGTATTGAATGTGGAGATTGATGGCCCTGCACATGGCAGGGGGGTTGGAAATTCATGATCCTTGAGATCCCTTCCAACCCTGTGAATCTATAAATACTGATAATGGATTTCTGGTCACACAAATCAAAAATTAGGAAGATCAGAATTTCACCCAATATGTAAAACTTCATAGAGAAATGTTAATAAACAAAAGTCTTTAAAGGTCAAGAAAAACTATTAAAAAAAAACAACCCAGAAGTCATAAAAAACATTTCAATATAAAATTTGTAAAATATTACCCTATTTATTCTCTAGACTTTTCTAGCAGCATTTGAATTTATCTTAATATATCCACAGAAAACTGATGATGAAGCATTTGCCATTTCAGAAAGTCGAGCTAAAGTCTCTTTGCGAGCAAAAAATAGCACGCAATTTTCTCTTCCACTTCTAGTTCTCCAGGTCAGTGTGGATATTGCGCATGACAGTCTGAAGGAGAGCTAGTGCTGCTCACTGGGCTCCGGGTATTTGACTCATAAGAATTTGGAGTAATTTCAACCACACCCTCATTTTGAGGGGTTTCTCCTTTCAAAAAGTCATCATCTTCATCTTCAGGAGTACCCTGCATGAATTGAAAAGGATCAGTGAGAGCAAAAATACATTCCAGGTCTCTGTTTGACAGAAGTAAAAACTGCTAAAACCAAAAAGGGTATTTCCAAAATAAATTCTGAAATTCATCAAACCTCCTATCAAAACACTGGAGTAAAAATCAATAAACTTACCAGTTAACAAAAGGCACCTACAAATCTACAACACCATATTTTTCCATGTTATCATAGAAAGGGAAGAAATGAAAAACTTAATGTGAGCCAGTTGTGTGCTCTTGCAGCTTGGAAAGCAAATGGTATCCTGGGCTCTCAGGAGTGGCCAGCAGAGACAGGGAGCTGACTGTCCCTCTCTACTCTGCTCTCATGATGCCCCAGCTGGAGTACTGCATCCAGGTCTGGGGCCCCCACTACAAGAAAGACAGGGTACTAGAGGAGGGCCACGAAGATCATCAGAGGGTTGGAGCACCTACCCTATGAAGACAGGCTGAGGAAGCTGAGCTTGTTCAACCTGGAGAAGAGAAGGCTGCAGGGTGACCTCATTGCAGCCTTTCAGTACCTAAAGGGAGCCTACTAACAGGAGGGGAGTCCACTCTTTGAAAGGGTTGATAAGGCAGGAAAAGGGGAAAAGGCTTTAAGTTGAAGGAGGGAAGACTGAGGTTGGTTATCAGGGCCAAGTTCTTTACCAAGAGAGTGGTGAGGTGCAGGAACAGACTGTCCAGAGAGGTTGTGAATGCCCTGTCCCTGGAAGTGTTCAAGGCCAGACTGGATGGGGCCCTAGACAGCCTGGTCTAGTATTAGATATGGAGGTTGATGGCCTCGCATATGGCAGGCGGTTAGAGCTTCATGATCCTTGAGGTCCCTTTCAACTCAAGCCATTCTACACTTCTGTGAAATACACAGTTGACCAAAAAGTTGAAAAAGGATAGACATTCTGCAAGAAGGTAAACAGACTATGTAGAAGCAGTGGAAGAACGTGGGGTGTACTACAACTGTCATGATTAGTTAGGACGACAAGAGAATTATATGTACACTCATTGTGAAGCAACTATCTACAAAGCAGATTGATCCCTGCAACAAGACTGCACATACACCACGTGGATGCTCCTAACAGTTGTGTCCATACACACTCTTCCATAGAGAGGAAAATTAAGGTTGGATCAATTTTTTAAGTTTTCTGATTCCAGTCACTGTCTATCATGTTTTCTATGCTTATAGTCACTAGCTAACCAATTAAGCAAATGAAAGCAGCTGACAGAGTGGCTACTGAATTGCATTTTTTAACAGATTACCCTTTTAATTGGCTTCTTCAGATTCTCTAAATCTTCAGCACTCAGTTCTTCCCAAAACTGATAAAATGGATCAATGGTCTTCTTTGATCTGAAAGTGGAATTAAAAGACAGTGCGAGTTATTTTATTCAGTAAAATGGATTTGATTTTA